TCTTATTTTTGTAAAAAAAATCACAAGAAGAAAGGAAAAAAAATACGGAAACATAAAAACAATTTCAGTACTAAGGGTAAAACTGAGATTCAAACTTAGTTAGGTAATTGTAGTTACTCCCTACATGTTTCGCCCACGCGGGCTTCTTCAGGGAGGATTTTTTTTGAAGGAATTTCAACCGCCGAGGCAGTCTAAAGTTATATCAAAGGAAAATTATATAATTACCAAACAACTTTAATATATCTAATACAAAGTATTTAATCAATTATATGTATATATGGGACTCAATGGCTCATCCTGGATGTGAAAGATCACGGAGCTAGGAAAAAATGACCCAACAAAGATCTTAATTGGCCTACACGTCCAAAACAGTTGTAGAGGATATAATGGGCATCAAATATCATCTAGGCTTAATAGGATAGACAAAAAAGAAATTAATTAAATTTAACGGAAGATATGAAGAAGAGATCATAATTCATTAGGTTAAAGCTAGCTTTGAGCAATTTTACCTGTTAAATGCTTTAGAAGGATATATAGGTATAGCCTAACAAAGATCTAATTGACCTATACGTCCACAACCATAAGAGATGAAACAATGGACTTCAAACATCCATCTGGACTTAATAGGATAGACAAAAAGATCAGAAACTAATTTAATTTAAAAAAAAGAATTCAAAAGGTGTTAATAAAAAATAACTCAAGCGATTTTACCTGTTGAAAATTGTAGAGAGATATAAAAGTATATTCTTTCTAAAGGTCTAACTGGCCTATAATTAGAAATGAGCGAATCGAACTTGGCGAAGTGGAATTCGTTTTGAATATTAGGAAAAATTCGATTCGCACCGAATCCGAAAATTAGCAAACTTCGGATGCACGAATCGAATTTTTTCCGATCGGCCGATTTTCATCCCTTCTACAGCCGGCAAAAAGTGTCCCTGCAGAGAGCTCCGCTATTTCTGACAGTTCTCTGACAGTTCCTTCACATTTACAGCGGTTGAAACATTGTATCTATTTGTTTCCATTTAGGATACAGATGTTTTTATTCGGAAACAAATAGATACAATGTTTCAACCGCTGTAAATGTCAAGGAACTGTCAGAGAACTGTCAGAAATAGCGGAGCTCTCTGCAGATACACTTTTTGCTGTACTGGAATTCTTCTTCTTTTCATTCTTCTTCTTCTTTTTCATTTCTTCTTCTTCTTTTCATTCTTCTTCTTCTTCTTCTTCTTCTTTTCATTCTTCTTCTTCTTCTTCTTTTCATTCTTCTTCTTCTTCTTCTTTTCATTCTTCTTCTTCTTCTTCTTCTTTTCATTCTTCTTCTTTTCATTCTTTTCATTCTTCTTCTTCTTCTTCTTCATTTTTCTTCTTCTTTTCTTCTTTTCATTCTTCTTTTCTTCTTTTCATTCATTCTTCTTCTTCTTCTTTTCATTCTTCTTCTTCTTCTTTTCATTCTTCTTCTTCTTCTTTTCATTCTTCTTTTCATTCTTCTTCTTATTCTTTTTTCATTCTGCTTCTTTTCATTCTTCTTCTTCTTCTTTTCATTCTACTTCTTCTTCTTCTTCTTTTCATTCTTATTCTTCTTCTTTTCATTCTTCTTTTCATTCTTCTTCTTCTTCTTCTTCTTTTCATTCTTCTTCTTCTTCTTCTTCTTCGTCGTGCCCCGTGACTGCCCAAATGAGTGAAGTGTGCGGTGATTCTAAGATGGACGGCACTCATCTGCATGTCATACTGACTGACAGTATTATTTCTCTTCCCCAGCAGACTCCAAGGGCATTTAAATTAAAGGTACAGTGTTCTGCACTAATATAAAGGCTCTCTGAAGCCTAGAAACCCTTTTAATAAGTTAAATTTGCAGCGAATAAATTCGCATCGAATCAGCCGAATTGAATTTTTGAATAATTCGCTCATCTCTACCTATAATGTCCAAAAAGGTTGAAGAGTATAATGGGTATCAACTATCCATCTAAACCTAACAGGATAAAGTTGGAAAATATATTTCAATATTTTTATTAAGATTTTTTGAGAACATACCAGAGTAAGAATATTCGGTTCATTGGAAAACACGTTAATACATCGCAGTATTGAATATTTACTCCACCAATTGGCTGGGGCTAATAATGGTTTGTAAAACATTAATATCAGAGGTATTCTTGGTTTCGAGTTGAACCTTGGGAAAACGTGTAGGGTGTTGAGGGGTGTGACGGAGGGTAGGCAGGACAGAACACACAGAGTAGATGGGAAACGCACAAAGCTTTATTGAGACAAAAGATGACAGTCACTCAATAGGGGGGTTCGCTGGAAGGGTGACCTCGGCGGCAAGAGAACAGCAAGGAGGGCTGAAACACTTATAGTCCAGTACAGGGGCAAGGAAGAGTCTCTGTAGCAGATTATAATCCAACAGGGGGAGTAGGGGGGTCAACACGGGAGCAGTTCAAGTAAAACAGGGAAAAGCATATGTCCATGGGTCCGACAGGGTGCCTGGTCTCCCAGGGATAGAAAGTAAGACACAGGTACCTGTTGAGGTCTGAAGTAGGCGGGTGGTCTCTCCTGTTGGACTGGGGTCTCGGGCATCTGGCAGGCAATTCCCCCTGGACTGGGGTCTCAGGCAACTGGTAGGCAATCCCCCTGGACTGGGGTCTCCGACCACTAGTAGACAATCCCCCTGGACTGGGGTCTCAGGCAACTGGTAGGCAATCCCCCTGGACTGGGGGTCTCAGGCACTGGCAGGCAATCCCCTTGGACTGGGGTTTCAGGCACTGGTAGGCAATCCCCGTGGACTGGGGTCTCAGGCACTGGTAGGCAATCCTTCTGGACTGGGGGTCTCAGGCACTGGTAGGCAATCCCCTGGATTGGGGTCTCAGGCAGGCTTGGGTGAGGTTCCCCCCCTTGGCTGGGGGTCTTGGCAGAGTCTAGTCACGAGGGTCCCGCCGCAGCTGGGCTCCCTCCTTTGGCTGAGCAGCGGAGAAGATGACCGGAGCGCCCGGCATCACCTTCTTAAGCTGATGCAGGACGCTACCTGGTTGTCTTGGTAACCGGGGCAGGCCGGAGCTGGCATGCCTTGTTGCCGGACAACAAGGCACACCCCCTGGACATGGGCTGCGCTTCTCGTGAGCGTGACCTTTGTCCAGGGACATCCGCAAGCGCGGGAACTTCCCGTGCCCACGCTGCAGATGACAGGGTGGCGTCAGTGAGACGCCGCAGCCCGGAACATCCCTGCAGGAGGTTCACACTTCTCCGCGGAGAGGTGTGAACCTCGCCACCTTCTCCTCTCCGGCCCTGCCAGAGGGGGAGAAGATAGTGGCAGGGGTGGTAAAAGCCGCACCTCTCGTCCATCTGCGGCAGGATGAGAGGTGGAGCGGGGTCAGTGGACAACAGGGAGAAATCATGCTTGGAGACAGGGGACACAGTGAGGGGGGCCAGGATGACACTGGGCCCCCTGGGGACATCAGAAGGACCTGGTGCAGGAAATTTTTAATGCAATTTGGGGACATGTAGCAAGTTGGCAGGGAGGGGGGAAGCTACAGTAATTGAATTTGGCCATTTGGCAGGGTGACACGGAGAACATACAGTGATTGATTCTGAGGAACGTTTGGTACAGGGAATTAATAAGGGGATTAAGTAAAATCAATAATTGGCAGGGGCCCCTATACCGTGACAAGGGGGTATTAAACAGGGAAGGAATGGGAAGGAGGGTAGGAAAGGAGGGGAGCAAGTGTAACGGGGTCAAAGAAGGGATACCAGTCTAGAGTTGGTGAGCAACTCAGTTTGTGTTTAGGTTATCAAGGTTGGAAAATATAATGGGCATCAGATATCCATCTAGGTATAACGGAATAAACATAGGGGGTACAAGGGATTGGCTCCAGTAATTGCTTCCCCCCCACTGTGCCAATCACCCTCCCTACCCACATCCAATTCACCCAGCTGCCCTGGCCCCCCTGCTGATCTGGGCCCCGTACAGAAGGATTGGTGGTACCACCTTATCCATGGCCAGGGCCACCACATCTAAGAATTGGTATGATACAATATATTAGATTTGTGTTCTTGGATGAGCTTGAAGCAGGGGCAAACCGACCATTTGGGAATTCGGGCACTGCCCGAGGGCTCGGTGTCAGTAGGGGACCATGAGATGCCCCTGGTACCTTTCATAGGCTTTTTTGGGTGTGGTTTGAGTGTGGGTGAGGACACAGAGGCCCCATGATTGCCTATTGCCCCGGGGCCCCGTGAGTTGTCAACCTGGCTTAAAGGGTAAGAACTCTTTATTGAACGAGGCCAGTAGTGTAGCATGGGTACCTCAGGGGACCGACCTGCATGTACAATGTCAATGTAAAAAATAAAAACTAAATAAAAATAAATAAAAAAATTTCCATTGCCCAATGGATAAAATTCAAAACATTAACAATAACATATTATTATTATTATTATTATACAGTATTTATAAAGCGCCAATAGTTGGCTCAGCGCTGTACATTACAAAGGGGGACAGAACATGTGACAGAACAATAACAATACAATGCAAAACATGAGGGGATCGAGGGCCCTGCTCTTTGGAGCTTACAATCTAGGAGGGAGGGGATGGTGGTACAGGAGGAGATAGCTGTGGGGGATGGGGTGGTAGGAAGAGTGGAGGAGGTTGGCAAGTTAGCAGGGGTGGGGTAGGCTTCCCTGAAGATGATGGGTTTTCAGGGTGAGCCTAAAGGAGAGGAGAGTAGGTGATAATCTGATGGGTTGGGGCAGGGAGTTCCAGAGGATGGGTGACACCCTGGAGAAGTCCTGGAGGCGGGCATGGGAGGAGGAGACCAGGGAACTAGAGAGAAGGAGGTCTTGTGAGGAGCGGAGTGTGCGTGTTGGGTGGTACTTGGATATTAGGTCAGTGATGTAGTTCGGGGCAGTATGGTGGACGGCTTTGTACGTCAGTGTTAGGATTTTGAATTTGATCCGTTGCGTAATCGGAAGCCAGTGGAGGGATTGGCAGAGGGGGGTGGAGGACACTGAGTGGAGGCCAGTGGAGGGATTGGCAGAGTGGGGTGGAGGACACTGAGTGGAGGCCAGTGGAGGGATTGGCAGAGGGGGTGGAGGACACTGAATGGAGGCCAGTGGAGGGATTGGCAGAGGGGGGTGGAGGAGGACACTGAGTGGAAGCCAGTGGAGGGATTGGCAGAGTGGAGGCCAGTGGAGGGATTGGCAGAGGGGGGTGGCGGAGATGGAGCGGTTGGAAAGGTGAATGAGTCTGGCAGCCGTATTCAGGATGGACTGAAGCGGGGATAGCCAGCGGCGAGGCAGGCCAGTGAGGAGGGAGTTGCAGTAGTCCAGTCGTGATATGATGAGGGAGTGGATGAGCTGTTTAGTGGTTTCTGGGGTTAGGAACGTGCGTATGTTGCGGAGGTGGAGTCTGCATGTTGAGGGGGCGGAGTCTGCATGTTGCGGAGGTGGAGTGCGGCACGAGTTTGTTAAAGATTGGACTTGGGGCTGGAAGGATAGGTTGGAGTCCAGAATGACACCAAGTACTCTGGCCTGCGGGGCGGGTTTGATGGTGGCGTTGTTGGATGTGACGGAGAAGTCAATGGGGGGTGGTGTCCGGGCTGGGGGGAAGACAAGAAACTCGGTTTTGGAGAGGTTCAGTTTAAGGAAGTGGAGCGACATCCAGTCTATATAAATCCATTTATAACTCCGCCCCAAATTACATCACCAATCTTGTCTCTAAATATCACCCAAACCGTAATCTCCACTCCTCGCACGACCTCCTGCTCTCTAGCTCCCTTGTCTCCTCCTCCCATGCTCGTCTCCAGGACTTCTCCAGAGTTTCCCCCATCCTCTGGAGCTCTGTACCCCGATTTATCAGACTATCGCCTACTCTGCTCACTTTCAGGTGATCTCTGAAAACCGATCTCTTCAGGGAAGCCTATCCTGCCCTCAGCTAATAATGGAATCTTCTACTCTTCCTACCAGTCCATCCCCCACAGTTACTACCTTTTGTACCACTTGCCCCTCCCTCCTAGATTGTAAGCTCTGAGGAACAGGGCCCTCCTAACCCTCTTGTATTGAACTGTATTGTTGCTGTATTGTCTCCCGTTATATTGTAAAGTGCTGAGCAAACTGTTGGCGCCATAAATCCTGTATAATAATAATAATAATAATAATAATAATAAATAATAATAATAATAATAATAATAATAATAATAATAATAATAATAATTCTAATAATAATAATAATAATAAATTCTGTATAATAATAAACGAATATCCAAACTAGAAATCAATGTTCAGGTGTTCGCTTGCGGCTCTAATTTCTGCTACAAGAAGAGATGAAACAATCCACCGTCTGTTCTGGCGAGGCCCCGCCCTTTTCACAGAACATACTGTACTCTTAATAGTAAGAGCCGTACTCCCAATCAAAACACCGTTTAAGTGGTTTTTCGTTTTTTTATTATTATTACTATAATTATCATCATTAGGTCCTCCTGAGTTCCCAACTGGAAGACAGCAGAAAGGGAAAAAAAAAAAAGAAGAAAAACTGTTAAAAAGAAACCACGAGCTTCAAACAGTGATTAAAGCTGTTTATAAAGTATTTCGCCGGATTATAAAGTTTTTAATAATAGATTCCCTTTAATGCGCATTTTAATCAGGCAAATGCGTTCCATCTGTCATTGTTCCAGAACAACCTGCAGATGCACAAGAGGTCCTGGATCCATTTATGTTTTAAAATAACTTTGATACGTTCCTCATCCCCCATCCGACTGTATTACGATCACACCGTATTAGTATTTATTTTCTGTAATGTGAGGCAATTAAAGCTGAACCACATTACTGCTTTTCACATCATGTCACAGGAATTGAAACCTAATGGAATAAAGAGACTAATCGCGGCTGATGGAAAATTCCTAATGTGATGAAATTTCTTGTACCGCATGAAGTACAAATCTCCTGTCATCAGATATTGGTAACATTGGTTGGCGAAAGGTCCTTCATGCTGGTATCTACAGGTGACAAGCAGGGGTGTATTTAGATTTTGTGCTGCCCTAGGCAACAAAAAACCGTTCACCCCCTCTCCAATGACCCCCCCCCCCCCCACCAGAAAGAGCCTTCCACTACCACCACCCTCCATACACCGGCCACCCCACCCCAGAGAGAGAGACAAAGACACTCACCCTCACAGCTCCAGACATCCCCTGGAATGAGAGTCAGGCTCTGCATACACCATCAAGCAGTCAGCAGCCTCTCTTGGATCCCACCTGGTCCCCATGTCGTGTGTGTCCCTTCTTCTGTCTCTTCCTCTGGGGAGCGGTGCTGCCCCCCCCCCCTGAAAAATGCCGCCCTAGGCAAATGCCTTGTTTGCTTGTGGTAAAAGCACCCCTGGTGGCAAGGGCAGCACAGTGGCTAAATGGTTAGCATTCCCACCAGGCGGTGCTGGGGTTGTCTGTTTGAATCACAACCACGGTACCACCTGCTTGGAGTTTGCATGTTCTCTCTGTGCCTGCGTGGGTTTCCTTCGGGTACTCCAGTTTCCTCCCACGCTCCAGAGACATGCTGGAAGGTTAATTGGCTCCTGTCTAAATTGTCCTAGTATGTGTATGTACAGGGGCGGACTGACAACTCATGGGGCCCCCGGGCAATAAGGGATCATGGGGCCCCTGTGTCCTTGCCCAAACTCAAAAAAGCCTATGAAAAAGGTACCAGGGGCATCTCATGGGGCCCCCTACTGACCCCGGGCCCCCGGGCAGTGCCCGAGTTTCCAAATGGTCAGTCCGCCTCTGTGTATGTATGAATGTGAGTTAGGGACCTTAGATTGTACACCTGTGATGGGGGTCACTTTGGGTGGGGGGCCCATGGAACCCAGCTCACTTTGGAAAGGTGGGGAGACCCCTGTCTCAGCTCTCCATATCCCTCTTATGTGTAAGTCACCCTGTGCCTGTTAGGGGTACAGGGTGATCTGTCCTAAAATTAGGGTGGGGGGTTTGATTGTTTAATGCCATGTGGTTGCATTCCATCGTTCTATTGTGTGTCTGGCTTTGGAGCAAACTATTATGGGATGTATGTGTTTATGTGTATTGGCTTGGTGGGGGGGTGTCTCCAGCAGCCCTCCCTCCTGATGGGACTGTCTGCTGGTGTGTCTCTTGTTATTAAATGTAGATTGCCCCGCCCTGTGTCATTATGCAGGGAGGGGGGGTTGTTCCCTTGAATGTATATATCTTGTATCTGTGTTAAAATAAACTAGACCACTCTGGTTTACTTCAAGAGTGGTGTCTGTTGTCGGTGTTCGGACGGGGAAGCGGTAATATAACGGAAATACCCAAGTGCAGACTGGGTCGGTTCCGTTACAACACCCCTTGAGGGTTAGGGACTGATGGGAATGTACAATATATATGTAAAGCGCTGTGTAAATTGATGGAGCTATATAAGTACCTGAAATAAATAAATAACTTTAGAGTATCTGAAACTCCATTTTCATCTGTATGTAATGAAGATTTAGGAGCATGTGCAAAGTGTCGTAATCCTTAGCAAGATCTCTGAATGGTTGCGGGTCCTGCAGTTTGCGCTCCCTTTATTGTAATGTAGCACTACCCCCTTAGGAGTCGCTGAGTTTTGGGTCCCCCTACAGCTCTGCACAGCCAGGCAACATGCATTTTCTGCCACTCTTTGCACTCAGAGTCAGTAAATGGTCCTTGAGCTTGGTTTTGTGATTTTACTAAGAGGTTAACGACTTGGATGGGGTTGAGGGATGTATGAGATGCCCAAAGAAACTGCAAGCTTGAGGATAAAAGCCTGTGCGGTGTTCCGCACAGTTTCCTCTTGACACCTTCCTTCCAGCTCTCTCCTAGCTCGCTTTCCGCTTCCGTTCCCAGGCTTCTACATTTACTTGCCTCCGCTCATATGCCAGCTCTTCTGGGAAATGTAGTCCCCCAATTAGCAGCCTTCTAACAAAGTCCTGCAGTTCAGCCTACAAAATCCATAATTTTTTTCACCAGGATATGTGCCATGGAGTTGCAGGACGCTGCCACCTTGTGTCTCTTTTCACATCCTGCAGTCTGAATAATAGCAGGGTGTTACACATGGCTATGAAAAGCATTCACGTGACCTAGCAAATCCCAAGAGAAGGCTGCCATCATTCCTTGACTATTACAGGGCCGTGCAAAGCAGTCATGTGACCTAGCAAATCCTAGGAGAAGGGTGCCATCATTCTTTGACTATTACACGGCCATGAAAGCAGTCATGTGACCTAGCAAATCCCAAGAGAAGGCTGCCATCATTCCTCGGCTATTACACGGCCGTGCAAAGCAGTCATGTGACCTAGCAAATCCCAAGAGAAGGCTGCCATCATTCTTTGACTATTACACGGCCATGAAAGCAGTCATGTGACCTAGCAAATCCCAAGAGAAGGCTGCCATCATTCTTTGACTATTACACGGCCATGAAAGCAGTCATGTGACCTAGCAAATCCCAAGAGAAGGCTGCCATCATTCCTTGACTATTACAGGGCCGTGCAAAGCAGTCATGTGACCTAGCAAATCCTAGGAGAAGGCTGCCATCATTCTTTGACTATTACACGGCCATGAAAGCAGTCATGTGACCTAGCAAATCCCAAGAGAAGACTGCCATCATTCCTTGGCTATTACACGGCCGTGCAAAGCAGTCATGTGACCTAGCAAATCCCAAGAGAAGGCTGCCATCATTCCTCGGCTATTACACGGCCGTGCAAAGCAGTCATGTGACCTAGCAAATCCTAGGAGAAGGCTGCCATCATTCCTTGACTATTATATGGCCATGAAAGCCGTCGTCTGTCCCTATGGCTGCCAACACTATTACAGATTGTCCACTTTGTCTAACAGTTGGCATAGTTTTGACAGTAATTCAGGAGGAGCTTCGAACTGAAACCTCATAAATATTTGTATCAACATCATTATGAGTTCACTTAAATCTGTACTATGAAGTACGTTTTCATTGCTGACCTCTAGATCTGACTTCAGTACTTTCACTTACCCAGAACAAGCATGCATGAACTGGGGACAGAATACCTGCTTACCTTCTCTGGGTCGGAAAATACTAAAGCCACAAGGTCCACATAACAGCCAAAGGTCTATCATTTTCAGAAGGAGACCTCATTAGTGGCAGCCCGCTATACCCCTCAGTACAGGTTGGGTTTTCCCACATGGAAAGCCTGTAGGAGATGTAGGAGATGCAGGAGATATGTGGGAAAGGAGACTAATCAAACCATTTTACTTCTTTGTGTTCTTCAGGAGGCCAGGCTTTAGGCATTAGCCATGGATACAAGCCGCTTCCAAATGGCAGTGTTGTCATAAGTTCCAGCTTTTGCAAAGCTCATGACTAAAAGATTCGTCAACCCTGGCCCATTTTCTAACCATTAAATAATAACACGGACTATATGGCATGGGTTTAAAGGGCCACAACAGCTATTTTATAAAAAAAAATGAAATAAATAGCATCACATTGCCAGAACAATTTTGTCAATGCAACCAGGAGGGAGGTCTTGGGTG